TGGTACTTGGACCCTTTGGGTTTGTTATGGTTAACTTATAGCATTCCCCCGGAAGCCTTCTTGAAACTACGAAGGCGCCGGCGAACCCTGAACCCTAACAGTTATATCAGTGGAATCGATGAGGGTCTAGTGCATCGAACATGTCTCGTTTTGCAACAACGCTAAACCCCCCAAAGCTCTGCATGCAGCGCACAATACCCATGGGCCCCATAGCAGTTCCTTCTTGGGGTTCCTATTTAGAATCCTATAGGGTAATCACAAAAAGGAACTACTATGGGGCCTATGGGTACCCTCTAAATCCTCCACAGCTTAGGCAGCTGAAGCTCGAACTCAAAGCTTCAAACAGTACAGGGCTTGGGGTTTAGGGTTTAGGGTTTAGGGTTCAGGGTTTAGGGTTTAGGGTCTAGGTTTAGGGCTTAATCTTAGGTCAAGGGTTTAGGGATTAGGGTTTAGGTTTAGGGTTTGGGGTTTGAGTGCCGATGGCATTCAGGGAGCTCGGGCGAGGCCGCAGAGGAGTAGGAAAGTAGGCAGGAGGGACCTTTTAGCTGTGTATCTTTCAGCAACGCCTATAACCCCTAAGCCCTATACCCCGGTAACGATTCAGGGTTTCGGGTTCTTGAAGGATCACGGGACGAAGTAAACCAAGGTTACAAGTGGCGTGGTTGGCGTGATAAGCCACTCTTGATTCTACACTGGGTAGAAAGTCCCATGATCGTTTAAGTAAGCCCTGAGCCCCAATATCCTATATAGACCGAATGCTCTCTTTTCATGAGCTTCTTTCGCGGAGCTGCTCAATATAAAACCCTAAACCCTAAACAGGTGATATCAAAAAAACCCTGAACCCTAAACCTTAAACCCTATAACCCCCTAAACCCTAAACCCTAAACGTAAACCCCCAAAAACCTAAACCCCAAACCTTAAACGTAAACCCCTAAAACCTAAACCCTAATATCCTATCACGGGAAGCGGCCGAAGGCCCTGAAGCTTCAAAGCAGAAGACTCCTGGGGTTCAGGAAACCCCAAGCCTCATGACGCACCCTACACCCTACCACCTTAGGGTTTAGGGTTTAGGGTTCAGGGTTTAGGGTTTAGGGTTTAGGATTTGGGGTTTAGGGTTTGCGGTTCTGGGCTTTGGGTTTAGGGTTAGGGTATATGGTCCTCAATAAATAGTTGGGGTATTCAGGGTCTGATAGAGGGTGGATGAAGGGTCTAGAAAAGCTCGCAAAGTCGTGAGCCCTGATGAACCCTCAGCCGCCAACCGTAAAGCCCTAAGCTAAACCCTACCAGACCCCCAAACCCCAACCCTTAAACTACGCCCAGAACCCTGAGCCCACAACAAAAGACTCTTAACTTCGCGACTCGAACCGCTTTCGAACACTAGGCCCGATCTCGATTCTTCAGTTGGCCTTACCGTACCACTCTGAGTATTTTACACCGAGGGTGCATGTATCCCGACCTCAAAAATGTTCCCATAGAGGTGCTGTGCATCGACTGTAGGCTTTACCCCAAACGGTTTACAGTGTTGGGTTAGGGTTTGGGGCAAAGTGGGTATTTGGAGACTTGGAGCCTTGGAGTTAAGCCTGGGTTTAGGGTTTAGGGGGAGCAAGATGTGTGATGCATGCGCATGGCAGGAGCGGGAAGTGGCGCTGGACGAGTGGGCTGCCCAGCCGAATGGACTGTAGCTGAGAACTTTGGATTAATATATAGAGGCCGTAAGAAGTACCTCTACTACATCGGGTTCCCTGCTACTTATAAATGTAGTGTAATGTCCCCCACAAACCCTATTCTACTTAATGGTTCCCTGTTATTTATAAATGTAGTATACTCTCCCCCCCAAAACCCCTATTCTACTTATTAAGGCCCCCCATCCTGTGAGACTCGGGGGCTTGAAACTAGTTAACGGTTTACTGGGTTCTTCCAGGACCCCCCAAGGGCCCTTTAATGGAGCCCTTATGGCCGTTAATCGTAGGTATTTAGGGTCCATTAGAGGGTAGTTGGGGGGTCTAGGTTGTTAAGGGATTTAATTTAAGTTACCATGATAGGGATTTATAGTAAATAATATGGTTTCCTTATTATGGTAACTTAAGTTAAATCCCTTAACAAGAACCCAGTTTATTTGCGTCAAGGGCGAGATGGGAGTCGTGCGGTTTAGGGTTGAGGGTTTAGTGGCCCTTTGCTCTGAGATGCACCTGCGTGGGATCTACATCCCACATTTCTTTGTACCCTGTAGTCTTTTTGGATGTAATCCCCTAACCCCCCCCCAGTTACCTACTATATAGGGCCCTAGCGGCTCTAGTACCCTATATAGTAGGTACCTGGGGAGTTAGGGATCTGTGTTCCTTACTGGCTTCCTGCTTTGTCTTTGGGGGTTTGTCCGGCCTTGCCTGCTGCAGGCTTCTGGCAAGACGCACAACCAGAAGACTTGTCGAATAATGCAGAAAAGAAAAGCCACAGGCCCTGAAGGACTTATGTACATGATTCGGAGACATGCGCTGCGTGGGGTCCATTATGCTATAATGGAGAACTCCCAAAATAGCATAGGTCATTTTCGAGGCCCTAATATTATGTCCACAAACATCATCATGGTATGATCAAGTCGTATAACAAGGGATACTATTGCGCCAGCAGCATGGAGCTGCGGGCCTTGTTGGCCTTCTACGCTTTTAATCTGGTGGCCTTCTGCTGCGCGGAGCGCGTTGGGGGCCCGCTTGCGTGGTTGAGTCGCTTCTGGGTCACCTTCTTGGCCTGGTACACATGGGATGCGTGGCGCTGCTGGGAGCGGTTCATCCGCCACCGTAGTGACCGGTCACAGATCAACAGCCCTTCCAATCGGCGCCGGCCGGACCTTCAGCGCCGCAGACTGGAGGTGGGACTGACGAAGACCGAGGAGGTCGAAGCATTAGCACAGCTACTGCCTCCAACCTCTGCGCCCTCAAGCCCGCAGAGCAGCGTGGTGCTCAGCGACTTTGGCGGCGTCTCCTCGGAATCGACAGAGGCGACACCGGGCAGCCCACGGAGGCGACGCAGAGGCTCGGCGAAGCTTGAGCTGAGCCAGGTCGGGTGGTTGTCAAAATTATGGTCCTTTTGAGGGTCTGTAATACAATACGGCACCTTATTTAGGGTACCCCAAAAGGGACTTTAATTTTGACAACCAGCCAGGTGTTAAAGCTGAGCGACGAAGTGGCGCTGGACTTGGACATTGACCACATTTACCTCGCGCTGGTGCCTTTCCTTTGGGGGCAGATCTTCATTGGCTTGCCGGCTTGGGCCAACATGCTCTTCGGTGCCAAGGGCACACCCGGAGCTTTGCGCTTCGGATTCTGGCAGCTCCTTTACCGACTCGGATACCCAAGGCCCGTGGTGAAGGACCCCCGAAAAACCTGCGCAGAGCTTCTGCTGGAGACAAGCCTGGCAATCTACTTTCAGGAGCAGAGGGTTGGCGGCGATGGCAGGAAGGTGGCCCACTTCAAGATCCCTTCCGTGCCCCACCTCACAGGAGATAATTTCCGCACGATCCAGCACGAGGACCTGAGCCTGGAGCTGGATTTGGGTGAGAGGCTGCTTTGCAGCGCGAGGTACGGCGACCAGCAGATCCGGCCGGACGAGACCATGGTGTTACTGAACCTCGCCGTAAGCATCATGCTGCACCCAATGCTGCATGCCTTCGCCAACTGGTCCACCACTCCGGAGAGTCCAGATGCTTACACAAGGCGCAACTCAATCGTCACCGTGCTCTTCAACTACTACGGCATCAAAGCCTTTGCGCACTGGTGCGACTTCCTCTGCTATTTGGGCCTTGGGAAAGTCAGCGGCCAGACTTTTGCCACTACGGTCCGGTCCGGGATGCGGCAGCATGTGCCGCCACATGCACAGGTCTCGCTGCTGATGCCGCACAGCCGCCTCGTGAACTTCACTGTTTGTGTTCGCAGCTTCTTTCTCAGGAAGTTCCAGAAGTACCAGGAACAGTTCCCTGGCATCGACGGTGAAGCACTCTTCCTAGCCACAGTGCTGCACCCCCTGGAACACTTCAACTTGGTGACTCTCCAGAGTGCATATGACATGGTGTGCGCCAACCCTGCCTTTGAGGGTGACCTTCAACTCGTCCGGTCGGCCATCATCATAACTTCAGACACTAGAGTTTTCAGTGTGTACCTTTCTGATGTGTTTGTTTACTTTTGGGTTCCGATTGTAACATAGCAGAGTAATACTCACCCGTGAAAGTGTACACCTGCTTCTAATGGTTTCCTGAACCACCTAGGACAAGCTTTGGCTCAGCCACCTCCTCTACGACTTCAGTTTTCAAAGCTCCTCGCAGGAGCTGTTCAAGGAGACCTACAAGCATGCCGTACCTGGAAGCGATAAAACCTACCATGTTTTGTTTTTTAAAATATATGGTTTCTAACTATAGTTCCTTCAAGAAGTTTAGGTTTTTTGCGGGGCCACAGGTACTTATCGACGAGGAGCTCGCGAACGAAATGGAGTGCTGCGTCATGCGCTAGCCCACGCGGTCGGCAGCCCTTGCACGGTTCTATAAGATTCAGGGAAGACCTGTGACCCAAAAGACCTGCCTTTGTAAGGAACTGTATTTAGAAGCCATAATAGGGAACCCTCAAAAGGTAGGTCTTTTCGGCAATACAGGTAGGGTTTAGGGGCCATCAGCAAGCCCGCGCCACACGGTTGGGCATTGATGCTTGCGTGTTTCACACCTGACGAAATATCGTCATAACTTGGCACATAATTTGCTAGTGTTCTCGTAGCAGCGATTCCTACTTCCGGCAACCCATGGAGGCTCTTGTAAGACAAGAGTTTCCCGTGCCTCCCAAAGAGGCTTTTCCATCTTCCGGCTTGTATGTTCCTTCCACCGTCTGGCTGGCTGCCAACATTGTTTTTTTAAAGACATGGCCTCTGTACGTTATTGGTGTCAAGTACGCCCCGCAGGTACGGTCGCAAAATGGCCGCTGCCTGTGTTTCTTGTAATTGTAAGGCACTGTACACCGTAGCCGCATGCAGTCACTCAATCTGTCCTCACTTCGCCCCCCTAAACCCTAAACCCTAAACCCAAAACCTAAATCCTAAATCCTAAATCCTAAACCCTAAATTCAAAAGGCCCTTGACCCTGGCTGGGCATTGTTGTTTGCCGGCTTTGGCAACCGTTCAAGGACCCCAGGCAGCTGTGCCAGACATCCTAACCATTAGCCCCAAACTCAATCCTTAAGCTCTACAACCTAAACCCCAAGCCTAAACCTTACCTACAGTCTCGATTGTAGTTCCAATTTTTGGTTTAACCAATTTATATGTTGGGTTTTATAAGGTAAAAAGAACTACAATGGAGACTACTGGCAAACTCTATACCTGCCTAAAGCCTCAGTCTTCAAGCCCCATGCCAGAGGCAGTCGCAGTGCATACTTTCTGTCAGCCGAGTCGTGGGGTTTTAGGGTTTGGAGGCGTTGAAGGATAATATGAGTATAGAGTTTGTAGATGTTTGTAGTAACAGAGTCAGGGCTTACAGAATTAGGTGCAAATCGGGTTTATTGTCTTTCTCCCTCTCTCTCTCTCTCCACTTTGTGATTTGGGATCTTTGGGAGTTGGAAATTCAATTTGAAGTTGGAGGCGTAGCTTGCGGAAAACAGTAAACATCACAGCCTTGAACCACCTTGTGCGATTGCCTTCTAATGTTTTCCTTATAAAAGCTTGTTCAAAAAGGCTCAAAAAGTAGGGTATTTGGGGTTAAGGTAAGCCTTGAACACTATGCGGCGACTGCCACTCATCTGGCTGCATTCGCAGACGTCGTGATGTAGCCTTTCATGTCGGCCGTGCTCCTGATTCGTTCATAGATGCATTACATGCAGCCTGAGCAGGATTTCTTGTTCGAATCTGCTTCCGTAACCTCAACCCTAAACCCTAAACCAAGTCCTGATGAAGGAGGTCGGGGTTTGAATTGTCTATAGACATAGATCCCTCAAGTATCCTGATACATCCCTTACAGATTCACCATCGGCACGACTGAATGGAAGGGGACTCCTTGACCCCAAACCCCTAAACCGTAGAATTCCTAAACCCCAAACCCCTGAACCCTAAACCCCTATACCCCGGAATTCTAAATCCCTAAACCCTGGACTCTCAACCCCCCTTAACCCCCAGAGTGCCCTTCACTAGGGCCTTTATGGTCTTGAGTAGAGGGATAGAAATGGGTTTAGGGTTTAGGGTTTAGGGTTTAGGGTTTAGGGTTCAGGGTTTAGGGTTTAGGGTTTAGGGTTTAGGGTGAGGGGCAGTGGGGGTGTTTGAGCAACTCCTGAACCCTCAGCCCTTCCCCAAAGCTGGCACCCACAAATCCTGAGCCCTGAACCCTACTCCCAAACTCTATAGTCTTACCCTACACCCTAAACCCTAAACTCTAAACTCCTATAGTCTTACCCTAAACCTTAAACCCTAAACTCTAAACCCTGAACAACCCTGAGTTTCTTGAAAGGAGCGTGCTCTCGTTGTTGCTGGATCTTTGGGTCCAGAGGCTCTAATCCTCAAGATCCTAAAGAAGAGAACCCAAGCCAGACGCCGAAACCTTGAATCTTAAGCTGGTCGGGTTTAGGGTTTGGGGTTGAGAGTCCTTTATAAATGTTTAGGGTTTAGGGCTGTAAAATTCCCAAAAATCTTGCACCCGTCCCCAAAACAGAACAGGCCTTGAACTCGGCATTGGCATCCCTGGGGTCGGCGTTGCGATGGGAGCATCCTGCCAGATCGGCTACAGGGTTCGCTGTTTAGGGTTTAGGGTTTAGGGTTTAGGGTTTAGGGTTTAGGGTTTAGGGGCCTGGGGCCTCTAGGTTTCAGGGGTTACCGTGTAAAAAGACTATTATGCTATTCGGCAAGCACAAGGCCAAAATAAGTGTTGAGACTCCTGCTGATGGGTCTTAAGAAAAGAAGTTCTACTGAAAAAGCTTATATAAAGACATAGCCACCATATGTATTTATTTATTTATGTATTATTTTTTTACGGTGAACATGGACGAAAAGCTGTCAAGACAATTAAGGCATTCGTTAAGGAAAACCCTTGTCCTGGTTATGAGTTTATTACAGACTTAATATGTTAAGTAAAGCCGAGGGGTGGAAGAATGCAGGACAGGAGTTTATGAAAACACATTGATGATTGTTAATTAAAAAGAAATAATGGCTATGGTATTGAGACAATAGGTGGCGTTCAAGCAATGGAATAGACCGCTTTTGCCTTCGGTTAAAGGTTAACTTGTCTAGTTGATGAAAAGGGGTACAACCAAACTTCAACAGCGTGCACCTTGTAACGTGAAACGACAACTTCAATCCAGCTGGGATGGTATTGGTTCTTGGAGTTTTTCGCCTCAAACAATCATGGTATTATTTCGTATATGATGTTATGGTTGGTTACAACAGTATACCTAAACCTTATTCCTAGTAAAGATATTTTACTAGAGAAGACCATTTCCATTTTCTACGGTTTGTTTTAGGGCTTAGGGTCCATACGGCTTCTAGGGTTCAGGGTTTCTATAGGGGCATATGTTTAGGCTTCAGGGCCTGTAAGGCTTGCAGGGCTCAGGGTTTCTACGCTGATTTTCTTTGGGTTTTAGGGTCTTTAGGGCTTATAGCTACAGGGACACATTTCGTTTTTTAGGGTGTAAAGGGCTTCTAGGGCTCGGGGTTTCTATGGGGATTGCACACGTGCAAGACTCAGCGACGGCGTTGCACAGTTGTCGTTGGTTTTGTTCAAATCCATCGTTTCCCTTCTTCTTGCGTTGCAGCGACAGAGCTCGCTATGGGCAGGAAGGGTGCAACCCCCAAACCGTAAGTAAACCCTAAAGCGTAAGCCCTAAAC